GAAAGATCGAATGACGGATGGAGATGAATTTCAAGAAGCAATGAAAAAACACAATCTTCAAGATGGAAACAGTCGTACACCAAAGCGACAGCATTCAGGTGAACATGAAACAAAAGAAAACGAAGATATAAATGTACTTACCGACAATGCACAAGATAGTCCTTTTACTGTTGCCAAAAGACAAAGGAAATCATCGCGACGTAAAGTTAACGATAACAAAACGGAGCAAGATGACGTAAGACAGCTGAATGATGATGTTAACAATCTACAAGAAGAAAAAGAACAACAACATGGACGTTATGTGAAGAACGGAAAAATAAAAAATACCTCTCGCACATTTGTAAATGGAAACTTAACAGGAATGAACAAACAGGTGACTCATAAACCTAAACAAACAAGAAATAATGCAAAAAATACAAAAAAGGATAACCAAACTGATTCATCAATTAATCTCACACATACCAATGATATTAATCAATATCAAAACACTCCTATACTGGATCATCATCAAAAGGATGTTTCAAATCAACATAAAGCTCAAATTTCTCAACAAACAATTCAATATGCAATTGAACAGCACCTTCCTCCAATTAAAATTAATTGTGAACCAAAAGTTAAAGAGAATAAAGATGCAATTTGTCTTATCAAAGAATTTTTCTCTATCATTGAACCAAACTTTCGGAAACTGAATCCGAAATATTGTAAACCAATAGGCTTTGAATACTGGTTCATCGATCGGGACGGTAATTTATCGTGCTTTACACGTGAAATCGAACTATTCGTTTTTCTATGTGATGCCTTCAACTATCCTGGTCAAGTGTTGAACACAACATTTAAACCAATTACACCTAAACGATTACCTCCTCAATGCTCGGTATTATTTAAATTTGTATCAAATGATGTTACTATTGATGAATTTAAAGCTGAATTAATGGTACAATACCAATCAGTATTTACAATTGAAGAGATGAGAGGTACTCGAACCGGTAAAAGTCGTCACATACGTCTCGACTTAACTGATCCCAAAGAATATTCGTGCCTACTCAACGGTGGTTCCTTAGCAATAGCTGGTCAACTCATTGAAGTAGCCGAATTTTTAGCTCCACCTCGTTTACTTATATGTTCTCGTTGTAATACACCTGGGCATATAAAGAAGCATTGCAAAATCGATTATGATAGATGTCGAAGATGTGGTGGTGACAGAAGTCAAGGTGATCATTCAACATGTACTCTACAATGTCACCATTGTAACGGCGAACACGAAGCTACAGCTTTTAAATGTCCAGTTATAAATGATTTTAGACACGAATTAATTGAACAACTCAAAAATCGACCTGATCTTCTACCTTGCAATGTTCAACTATTTATTCCAACTGAATTTAGGTCCAGTAGAAACAAAAACAATCATATACTAACTAACAATATACCTAATTCATCATCTCAACAACAACCGCAACAAAAAAATTTCTCTTATCATAGCAACGTTTGGCCGTCGATCAATGGAAAAGAAAAATCAACCACAACGTCTTCATCAATTAGCTGGACCTCTCTTCCTACTGACTCCAGCACATTATGGAACGAAATGCTTAAAACTCAGGGTGAATTCGACTTGCTCAAAAGAAAATTTGAATGCCAAGAACAATTACTCTTATCAAAATTTAATGATCACAAACTCAAAATGGGATCGATTCTATCATTAGTATCAGTTCAAGTTCAACAACAACACGAAAGCATAAACTCACTCTTTTCTTTCATCAAGGAAATCGTACCAATGGTAGCTAATTCTCTAGCTGTTTGTCAAAAACTGGTTAATAAAGCTGCAGTTGTATCACCTGATCAAAATGAAAAAAACGAATTCGAACTACTCTCTCAACAAATCCTCTCATCAATCACATATCTCAATGATCAAAATAATCACGTTACAAGCAAACAAGGCGAGCTAATAAAATACTTCGAAAAGAACACACAGATGATGAAACAAGGTGTTGAATTATTGTTATCTAGTAATGAATAAGTTTTCTTTTAATTTTTCTGAGCCGTTTATTTCTCCCACTGTTTGTAACTCTTTCTCTGCCTCTCCTATGGAAAAACATATACTTTTGGAAATGATAAATGAATGGAATTCTAAAACATGCATATCTAATCTTTGTAATCATTGGAAAAAAGAACGTCCTTCTTGTAAGAACAATTCTAGTCTATCAATTCTTCTTTTTAATGTGCAAGGGCTTAACACTCATATGAATGATGTAGATATTCTATTAAATGAACACAAACCAAACATCTGTATTCTCACTGGAGTTGGAGCTGCATCTAGAAAACTACCAGAATTTGTCGGTTATACAGGAATCTCACAAATCGGAACAAATTCATACGGAGGTGTAGCTATTTTACATGAAAATTTGTTAAAATGCAAGATAATTGATAAAGAACTAAATTTTATATTAATTGAAGTTGAAACTGCTTTGAAACCTATTCTAATTGGAGCAGTCTATGTTCCCCCCGGTACGCTGCCTCCCTTCCAGACATTTAACAGATATAGAGATAAATCTTTTTACATTTTTGGAGATTTTAACGCTAAGCACACGACATGGAACTGCAAGGAAAACAACCCTAGTGGTATTCATATGTTTAACTGGTTGGAATCAACCGGTAATGAGCTCATCCAACCACCTGAATATACATCCCGTCGATCTGACGCTACAATTGACTATGGAATAACTCACGACTCTACAGGATGGAATTCTATAGTATTTAAAACTTGTGAATCTGACCATTGGCCAGTCTTCTTTCAATCTCCTATAATGATAGAAAAAAATGCTTTTTTTCGTCAAACTAATTGGAAAATATACACTTTTTTTCTCTCAAATATCTATCAATATTGGAACTCTCTTGTATATAACTTCGATACTGAAAATTTCTTTACACTCTTTTCATCTTTCTTACATGCTCTTCACGATCGTTGTAGTATTGATAGAAATGTAAGCAACTTCAGACCACCTTGGCCACCATCACTCGTAACACTAGCTAGAACAGTAAATAAATATCGTCGTGCTTATCGTAAAACTCGTTTTGCTTCTCATTTAAATCGGTTTTTAATATATAAAAATCTTTTCATGAAAGAAAGAGCTATGTATCTTCAATCGCGTCGCGATGAAAAGATGTCATGGGTTTCAGAAGGTAATAACATATGGTCATATGTTAAACCGTATTTTCGTCCGTATGCACCTGCTTTCAAAGGACTCACGATTCAAAATGATAGAGTTACTGATCCTCAAAAAATAGTAGATATACTAGCCGATTACTACGAAAAACATTTCGCACAACCTAAGTACGATCCTTTAAATGCGACACATCAAAGATCAATAAGAATTTTCGAAAATTTAGCATACTTACCAGCAATTCCACTTGAAGAAATAAAGCTTGATGAAGTGTTGCGCGAGTGGATGAAGTTTCTACCTAAAAAATCAATAGATAGTGCTGGAACATCAGCTTTTATGTTGAAAAAAATACCTATCGAATACCTAGGGATTTTAAGTGTTCTGTTTAATAAGTGCGCGATGAAAGGTGACTTTTTTGCTGCTGGAAAAGTAGCTAAAGTTATCTGTCTATCTAAAGATGGAATGTACCCTGCCGAAAATAAGCTAAGGCCCATATCGCTGCTCCCTAATTTAGCTAAATTGTACGAACGCATCGTACATCGTAGGATACTAAAATGGTGCTGCGAGCACAACATTGCAGTCGACGAGCAGAGTGGTTTTATGGAGGGAAGACGCCTTCAAACTAGAATCCTTTCGTTAGTAGAAAATCTACGTCTTACTGTCGCTGCCTGTAATAGACCTGCGCTTGTAGTTTTTGTCGATTTTCTATCCGCATTCGACCGCATGTGGTTCCCTGCTCTAATCGCGAACCTAAGTGATCTTGGTATGCCACTACCTCTCTTGAAGTGGATACACTCGTGGCTATTGGACAGGTCTTTTACAATCTCATTTGGAAGTGCGAACTCAAGGAATATAAAGATGAATGTTGGCGCGCCCCAAGGTTCTGTCCTAGCTGCTACTCTTTTTCGGCTGCATGTGCACTTTCTTCCTTCGTTCTTCTTTGGTCTTTCAGTGCACATGTTCGCTGATGATTTAGCGATCGTAATAACAGGTCATTTAGAAAAACGCTTTTCCTTAAATATCGGCGAACTCGAAAATCGTGCTAAAGATGTAATGAAAAAGCTAGAATTATTTTCCCAGAATTGTTTACTCCCTGTCAATGTAAGCAAAGCTAAGGCGCTACTAGTTCATAGTGTTGTTGCACCTAAGTTTCCTTTAATTCAATATAAACAGCAGAATATTGAATATGTTAATTCATTTAAATACTTAGGAGTGTATATAACGACTAAACTTGGCTGGGGAATTTTCATCAGTACTAGAATTAGAATGATCAGAAAAATCTATAAAGCTCTACGTATTATTTTACATACTATACCAACTAACCTCACAGCTATTCGTAGAAAAATTTTTCTAGCGTTTGCTCTACCTCATTTCTGCTGGCTATTCTGTACGTGGTTTTTCTTTACGGAAAATCAAAGGAGAAAGATAGAGCACGTCTTCTGCTCAGGCATAAGGATACTATACTCTCTCTCAAGATGGGATGACATGACAACTATGATTTTAAGTAAAGAGAAGAGTCTACTGGACTATATTTATTCCTACTGGTGTCGTTTCAACTATCATCTAGAACGCGCAGTGGATGCTCTAGAATTTCAACAATCCTGGCAAGCGTTTAAAATAATTACTGAACCTAAGAAAATATGGTATCGCTCACTTGGATTTAGAAAGAATAGTTTCTTTCCTAACAGATTAGCTAAAAGAGCTCAACATACCTTAAAGGACTGGGTGATTTTTCAAAGCACTCAAAAGGAACAACTCAACTATTTCAAAGAAAATTCACTGTACCTTAATAAGTTTGTATATAAATTCTTTCTTCAACCACCTTGAATCACAATAATAAATAATTAAGTTCGTTGTTGTTCATCATTAATAACTAAAAGTATAAATGTATAAAATTTAATATCTCATCGATATAATATACATACCGACAAATTCATTACTAACCAAAAGAAAAAAAAAAATAAGATGAAATACATCTCTTAATACATATATCTTCACTTAACAGATGACTGGATAAACTAGAAACGAATGAAATAATTTAATATGCATGTTTAACCTCTGAAAATTTATCACTTTAAAAGATGTCACTAACTTTTATATATATATATATATACATACTACCTCATACTCCCGACGTATATGTTTTTCTTCACTTTATTTTCTCTCTTTCTCTCTATTCTTAACTAGTACAAAAGTACATATACATATCTTTTCATCTCCTAACTGTTGTATAATGATAAAACAAATGTTCTATTTTCGTAATTATCTAAAGTCGTTATCATTTCTCTTTCTCTTTAATTTGTAAACCCTTCATGGCACAATAAATTGAATGCAAAAAAAAAAAAAATAATAATGTTTTAAGTAATGAGAATCGATCGAAGAATTTTCTTCTAAGAACGAAATCTTATTAAATTTAATTTTAAATTTCAACTGTTAACATATTATCCTTAATTAGTATAGCTCGAATCATTTCGTTCGCACTTTTGGATTAAACAAAAATTCTTGTTCAAAATATTATTCAATCAATATTCTGAAAACTGCCTTAGCAAATAATAAACACGCGATTCAATTCTTCTGAAATGATCTATAGTAGTTAAAAGAACGCATTCCTTTCGAAACATGACGGACGAATGTAATCGATCGAAAAGGAAAGAAAAAAACGGAGTCTATATATTTGAAGTCTTTTCTTGAATATCATTTAAGTATAGACACATGGTTACTATGAAACGAAATTTAACTTTTAAAGAATCATTTGAAGAAGATTCAAAGAAATTACGAAGTAAAATCATTTGATTAATAATATCTGAAATTGTTTTTTTTGACAAAGGTGAATTAGGTTCTATTGAAAATTTGTCCAATGAAATCTTCTATGAAATATTTGATTATCTTGATGGTTTGGATATTTGTATGGCATTTTCAAATGTTAATTATCGTTTTCAACAATTAATTATATGTTCATCGTTTCAATATAAAATAAATCTTGATTATTTCACAAAAAAGAAAAATCTTTGAATAATTATAAAGAAAACCAACATCAAATCTATTCAGCTTCTTTTATAATATCAAAAAAATCTATGAATAAATTATTAATGTCATTTTCAATTGATTGTTCATTTAATAATCTTCAATTGATTCGTATTGATAATATTCCCAAAGATAAACTTATTTCATTACCTATTCATTTATCTGAATTATCTTGTCTTTATTCATTAAGTATCCAAACAACAGATTTAATTGAAGATTTAGATCATATTTATCAGTTAATATTCTCATAGCCAAAATTAAAATCAAATGAACTTTATTTGTATGGAAATCAATGTTCAATATCAATTCAAATTAAATATCTAAAAATAGCTCATTGGTATGCATTTGATGAATTTAATGTATTAATATCTTATACATCAAATCTTCGTCGTCTTAATCTTTCACATGCAAGTAAGGATGATTCAGATGTAGAAGATATGCTACCAATGAATTTAAATAATCTTATTCATTTACCCTAGTGAAACTACTCATCAAGCGGGTACGACTTGCTAGCATGAGTACTCATACTACTCCAATGAGTACTCGTGAAAATTGACGAGTAGTCTTACTGATTGAGTACTCGTAGTCGTACTGATCTAGTTGTTGGTTGTTTAACTTTACTCGCAAGTAGTGGTATGAGTACTCACTCGAGTACTCATATATATTTTTAGAACATAACTCAATAAAACAGTTATGCATTTTCAAATATGAAATATAAAAAAATAAAATAAAATGAAAATAAAGTTTGCACAGTATAATTAGATATGAAAGTGTATTTTATCTGTTCATTTTTGTTCAATATTATCAGACAAGAAAACGACCATATGGTCTCCAGGAGAGAAAAGAAAACATACAATTGGATGTTAATTTTCATGTGTTTCTTTTTTTTCTTCAAATAAACGTTTATAGTCTATAGAAGAAATTGAAATTGTTTCCCATGTGCTTAGATATTTTTCGAAAAAACCGTTTTATTCAATAAGATTATTCGTCACTATTCGGTAATTAAAAATAAAAAAAAGCAACGTGACTTGTTTATGTATATTGAAGATATCCAATAGCAATATATGTTGAGATAGACAAGTCTTCTATCGACATAACGTCATTCTTTTTTTTCTATTATCATTTTCGTCAGTATCGTTTGCCTATAATCACGTGTTTATTGCTTTCTTCTAATCTTTGATTTATTTTTAGATATTTAATAAACAATTTTAGAATTTCGATTATAAGTTTCGATTAAATGCGCCTGTTGTACGAAAAATTCAATAGACATATCCATCTTATATAAAATTTATTTTTTCTATTAACTAGACGTTAGCAAATCAAAGAGATCAAGCTGAATTTACTAATGAAACTTATACAAAAATCGAAGTAAGTCTTCTTCTTTTTTATATATACCTTTATCTAATCTCTGTTGCAATTCTAAGAAATTATTGGTATGAATCCTAATCAAATTAAATCTACATTAATACGTCCAACAATGGTAATGAGAGAATCAATGAAAAAAGATGGTCATATTGGTGATTAAATAAAGTTAATAAAATAAAAAAATTTATTCAAAGGTCAGTATACAACTTTTAAGTTTTCCACTACAAAGTTCATTAAAATTTATCGTTTTAGAATTATACAAATGAAATGAAATGAAAGCAACAAAAATAAAACAGTTTATGCAGAACTATTATGAATAGCAATGAAACCAACACCACAACTTGCACAAATATCAACGATCCCGAGCGAACAAGGAATAACAACATCAACGATCACTACTAAAAAAGAAACAGCAACGATAATGCCATCTCAATCATGTAAATGAACACTATATAACTCATGTGTGATTTTATATATTTTGCCATGATTATACTAAGGCAAATGAGTTGTATTGAAGTAGAGGTAATTTAATTTTTTATAAAATTAGAGGAGATTTTTTTATCAATCGTTTTATTTTTTTTACTGTCTTTTCTTTGTTTTTTAATATCGAATATTCTAGCATATTTTATCCTGTTTCTATTACTTATGTCCTTTTTTATGTTAATCTCGTTGCTGTTACATCATCAAAAATCAGATTATATCAATAAATTAAAAACTAATACAAATATTGTCGTATATGAAATATACCAGCAGAGTACTCGTAAAATTAGAAACGAGTAGCTCCTTATAGTACTTAAATACTCAGCAGTTTTACATAAGTACTCGCTAGTAGTACTCAAATACTCAGCAGTTTTATATAAGTACTCCCTGGTAGTACTCGAACACTTAATGTGTATGACAGATACAACATATGAGTACTCAAACATCATAAGTACTCATGAGTTCTCGTGACATTTTCTAGCGTGAGTACTCTTTGAGTACTTCGGTATGAGTTCTTTCACTAGGGTTATCGATATTTACAAATTAATTAAACTTTGATGAATTTGAATCCTTTATTGAAAAAATGAATTCCAAATCAAGAGTGTGGGTGTCGATGCGGATGCTAGGTAAATACAATATCCACGCCCACACCCACCCTCAAGATCATAATCTTCTGCTTCTTCCACAATCGTCGAAAACTATCATCTATCTATATCCGGATTTCTACCAAACCTGTCACAACTACATAACCATTCTATCCTCTTTCTTTTTTTCTCTCTTCTTCTTTCGTCTTTATTTTTTTTTCTTTTCCTTTCTCTTCATTTTTCCGGCGCTTAGGAGTGTGACAACTATATCAGGCCTACTGACGTTTTTATCCTTGCAGCATATGCACCGACATATATGCACTATATATAGAGTGAAGAGTATCTAGTAGAGTCGTCTTCTCTTTCTCTTCCATGAAAGAAAGCATATATATCATCAAGCTTCAGCCTTTGGGTCTTAGTTCAGAAACCGTCACACAATATTGTCATTTATTATCAAATAATTTTCATGAAATATTTTGAGGGTGTTATACTTGAATTTATATTTTACCGTATCGAAAATAATAAAATGTTTTCAATTAAAGTTCATCTCCATATTATGACGGTTCCTTGTTAATGTAACAACCGGTTGAGGACCTTGATCATTTACATCCTTAATAACATCCATTCTCATTTGATAATAATCAGGTATTGTTGATTCATATGGATAAATTTGAGAATGTGTATTTAACCGTGTTTTTCCTAGAACATAATATTCTGGACAATTTGGGAGTTGGGTTGTTTCTAAAAAATAACAGCAAACAAGTTTTCGATTTACATCATAAACTGACCATTGATACAATTTCATTAAGTAAGGATTATTTTGATAAAATGGAGTAGGATGAAAATATTCAACTACATTAATATGATATGAACTAACATCAAATGCATCTCTAACAAAACAAGTAATAGTTTTTGGCCATAAATTTCCCAAAGAAGTCTTTATATGTTTTAATTTTGATATAATACGTTCAACATTTTCATGATCTTCAATAGTTTGTTTATCATTAGTCGTAGATTTGGAAAATTCAGTCATATATTCAGCACCAACATTAAAAACTAATAATATATTTTGTAATAATTCTATAGTAAATTTTTGAAATTTTTGTTTCCATTCTTCACATGCTTCATCCATAATACATAAAAGAAATTCAACATGAATTGTTGATGACATAATGAATTTGTTTTAATAAAACTAAACTTTCTAAAATGAAATACGTAGAATATAAAGAATAGTTTAAATTAGTCATTTTTATATTGTGAGATGTTAGTTTATTCCATAACCAAACACCAATTCATATAAAAAAAATGATGGCACATCACACCCTCTCAACACACAGAACAGAACAATATATATACCGCTGCCAACGCCTTCTCTCTAACTCAGAACAACAAAATATGGAAGAGGAGCAAGACGTATATGATAAAACTCTAACCGGAAAAGTCTTGTAAATCTAAGATTGATGGAACAAAATGGAAAGAAGAAAACCAACCACAAATAATAAACAGAAAGTTAGCGGCATAGAACGGCATCTGTTGATATTCTTATTCTTAAACAAATAATTCTTCGTATTTCTATTAACTTTCTTGAAATTGTAACTATGGAGTGAATTTTATTCATTATATTATCAATAAAAATAAACAACGTGGATGGAAATGCGTATGTTATTAATTTTCTTCATTTTAATGATATTTTCTTTTCGTTTATATTTTTTCCTTAATACGTAATTAGATGTGAAATATATTTAAAAAAATGTAATTCATTAAAACTAATTGTTTTTCCTTATCTGTTCAAATGCTGTATTTATTAATTTAATTGATCACAAATATTTTTTTTAATTATATAGATGCTGTTGGTACACATCTCTTGAGAATCAGGCATTCGAACACCGAAAAAATTCGATGGGTGCTGGATGGATGTTTAGGTGAGAGGAGCCACCCTATTACGAAAAGTTACACACTTCCAGAATCGCATGGACTGCCAAGCTCAGCATCAGACTATTATCTTTGCATTTTATTTTATAATCGTAGAAAGATTATGCATAAAAAATTGATGATAGGATCTTCAGTTTTGTTGTTAGTCGATTTTTCTTTTTCTTATGGTTTTAAGAATGTTTCATATTCTGGAACAACATTTGTAATATCAAAAAGAAAGGATGAGTTCTCGGCATAATAAATGCTGTTGCTATTATCGATCCATACTCTTCACTTTTAATTGTTAAATGTTGTAAGGGTGTGGGTGGTTCTTACTGTATCTTCACCCACACCTTCAAGAGATGGTTGGGTGCAATAATGATAATATGGATAATATTCACCACCAAATCTACATACCAAGTCACGGATTTTGTCTATACATTTGATAATAAATAGAATTACCATCGAGTACAATATCACAATTCTTAACTTGAATATTCTCACGTAGATTCAAGATTTTTTTTGTATAGATATTTGCAAATCTCGAGTACCCATGTTCAATAAAAAGTGAAAAATATTTTAAAAGCGAGAGTAGCCAGACACTTCTACGTCGTCGTTATTTTAATTTGTTCAAATAACTTACTGCAGTTTATTTATTCTCTACTCGAGCAAAGCATTGTTTTCTGTTTTTGGAAAGCGACGTTTGATCACTATTCTTTCCTTGTGACCACGTCTGAGTTACTGATCAAATACGCTACAGGCATATTTTCAAGATTAACTTAAATTAAAATATGATCAAGACTTGCCGAGCAACAAGAAGTTACCGTTACTACAAACAGAAAAATTAATTGCATAGATATAAAATTATCATGCCAGAACAGATTTAGTTCTTCACATCAATGAATTCTTTTTATTTAAAATTCTATATTTTGATATTAATCTTTTCTGATTATTCTTTGAAAGAACTCACCGAAGTGACTGGAACAACAAAAAAACAGTTTATGACATTTTTCTCTCTCATCTTGCATATAAAAACATTTTTTTCAACTGACAAAAAGTGCAAAAAAAAAAGAACTCTTCAGACAGAAATTGTTGATATTAACTATGAACTCAACTACAGTTGAATCATGGTTTATTCCTCTCGATATTATAGCAATAATATGTCTTGCCTTGACCATTGCATTGGCTACCATTGCTCTCATTATTATCATTATGGATAAAACATGTCATACAGTTCCAATGTTATTAACTGCAAATATATGTTTAACTGGATTGTTATGTGGAATCGATACAATTGGAATGAATGGATTTACATTATACAATGATCTTAAACAAATTGAATATGAAGATTCGTTTTGTTTTATTATTGGATTTTTCAATTATAGTACATGTGCATTACATAATTATTCATATGTCACATCCGCTATTTACCGTTATATAACAATAGTTCACCCAACTCGTTTATTTTGGCAATCGGCACGTGCACAAATCATACTCATTGGTATATGATGGTTTTTAGCTCTTTTATTTCCTATTGTTTATATATTTACTAATGCAATTGTCTATAATGTTGATAATCAAATATGTCAAGTACCACTTGGATTTTCATTCTTAATTCTTTATGCACCATTATTTATTTATATAGTTCCCGTTCATTTAGTTATATTCATTTATATGAAACTAGTTCGATTTGTTCGTGGAATGAGTCAACGTGTTACCGCAGCAAATACATTGTCTCGTGCACAAAGAGATTTAAAAATGGTTCGTCGAGTTGTTACTCTTGTTCAGATTTTATTTATTAGTGGTTTTCCATTGAGTCTATTTATTTTTCTATCATTCTTTAATCATGCACCAAAATATCACTTTCGTATCGGTTTTCTATTTGTTAATGCATCAATGTTATTAGTAAAGATTACATTATTTCAATTTACTGATCCACTAAAAGTAGCTATAAAGAAAATATTACGTCGTCGATTGAATATAGTGTTACCAATACCGGCGATTACTCGTAGTTTGACTTAATATATGACAATGTTTTTTTTTTCAACAAGAACTATAATCAATATCCAAAATAAAAAGTGTGATATCACATGAAACTAATTCTTCATTGCATATTTAATTTGTCTCATCTGTGTGTGTGTAAAATTGAGTTTGTCATGTTAAATAAACGGCTATTGTAATTGACGTGATAGAAAATTAAATTCACTTAAACATCATTTCTTTTTCCTACGTTGTACTAGGAAGAAAAAGAACAGAATAGAGAAAAAAGAATTGTTTTACATTACAACATGTTACCAGCAAAATATTATAAAACAATTAGTGATCAAAGCCCGCAACTATTTGCTGTTAAACCTGATAAAACCATATGGTGTCACGATGAAAACGAATGGTTCAGATATCAAATAGCTACTGGTATTAAATATAGTAAAATTGATTCGGAAGGTTTAATTCCCAAGCGTGGAACGTTTTCATCAACAAACGAAGAAGATGATGAACCACATTTTGGTGAACTGGGTGAATGTGGGTGTTGGCTTGATTCAAATAAAATACTCACACCCATACCCTTCTTATCATGTTTTTGTTTATTATATAAAAAATGAAATATAAAGAAATATGGCAGTTAAAAAGATGAGACATCAGTCACTAGTACTGTTTACCATAGCTCACACTCTTTTAGTTTTATTTCGATTCTAGGTAAAACGCCTTCGTTTTTCTGAATATCAATTATTTTAAATGCTGAATATGGCAGAATCAATACTTCCTTTTCATCTTGAAATAATGATATATGTTCAATATGTAATGCAGTTCTTTGATTACGTATTTCATATATACATATTGTACTTAATCGATCATCTTTTTCACTGCTGTTGTTAAGAAATCTTAATGCTACATCTCGCTGTTTGGATGTCGACGAAAATGTTTTAGTTAGAATACGTGTACCGATCTTGTATTGCTCTAAATCATCACTAGTAATCATCATGCCACGGTATGTAACTCCAATATATGAAAATGTTTCGAACTGTGGATGACGAGCAACTATTCCAATATAATATGCTCGACTAAGATTCTCTTCAGCAGTTAGATTTTCAGCCGTAATTGTGCAAGATGAACATTAAGCAAAGAATAAAAACCAGTTTCAGCCGTGTATGCTTTTAATAAATAAACCGGATCTTTTTCCTTGATTGACATATTAAAATATTGTTTTATCGTATCAATACCATCGATATCTTGTAGGTACCTTTCAACATAATTCTGTTTTATATAAACAATCAATTGATAAACGTTTGGATCTTTACCATATGACTCCAATTTTTTCCAATATTCATGTGCTTGATAATCAGCATCATTTGTCGAAAGAATCCATTCGACGCAGTCACTAATAAAACGAGTGTTATTCGTTCGACGACGAATCATCTGTTTTATTTTATCAGTTTTAGCTTCATCGAATGGAGTACAATTATATTTATTTATTGCTGAATGACAAGCACCTTTCTGTAATAACAATTCAACAATCTCCTCATGTCCTTGATATGCAGCTACATGAAAAGCGGTTGACCCATTGGGTTCCATTTGATTAACTTCTTCAACCGACATTTGTTGCAAATAATGTTTTACCGAATTGATATTATTATCTCGGCATGCATTGTAGAAAGGACTAGTAGCTGAAACAGAAAATGATGAATTTGTAAAGAAATAGAATCTATTAGAGAAATTTTCTAAAACCATCTTAAGGATGTGGGTGTCGGTGAGCAAGATCAAGTAACGCTTATCATCCTTACCCACATCCTCATGAGATAAATCTATTAAAAATACTTCTCTTGTGAAATGTGTCTCCATTTGAAGATTATTTACCTCCATTAGTTATTTTGGTTTTTGTTAATATTTGAGAAAGACTTTTTGCTTCTCTTTCAGGTGTATTTGGTCGATGTTTTGTGTACTATAGAATAACAAAAAATTACTTTTCATCATTATTTTTGAAATAATCAACAAACTATTAACGATGCTGAAGTTTTGTCAACATTATTACCTGAAACGAAAAAATATTTAGTTGAATAAAACAAAGAAACTTCATACGCCATTCTTGACTTAATATAAGATTACGTGGTAATTCATTTAAATCCGCTTCATCGAATGGTTGAACCTAGAAAAAAAGCTTTTTTTTCCTTCAATGTCCTTATAAAAAAAACTTCAAGTAAATAAAAACTATATATGTTCGGGATTCTTTAATTTGAAAAATGATACCTTTCAATATACGTCTATTTAAAAAAAAATGTCAAAAGAAAACAAATAATTTTGGTCTTTTTTTGTACTAGTTTATATTTTCTGGTTGTTATTTAGAAATAGCTTGAGGACAATCATAAGTATTCTTATCTTTGATTTTCTTTTTGCGTAGTTATCGAAAATGTTTTTTTTTCGGCTGTGAAAAGAAGAAAAATAATAATTTATCGTTCGAGAAACTTACTCGATATTGGCATTTTGCACAAGTAACACGATCGTTATGCATCAATTTGTCTCGAATACAATTTAAACAATATGTATGTGTACATGGTAATACCCGAGGATCTTTATATAGATGATTGCATAAAGGACATGCATGTACAGTTTCTTTTTGTGCAGGTGGTGGTGCTGCACTATGTACAGTAGCACCACGTCCACTATTACCATTATTCATACTATTCGAACTACTTGAGTTACTTGACGAACGACTTAGAAAAGATGTTGATGCTTGTCCAACACCATTATTATAACGAGTGGTTGGGTAACTGGTTGCAACACGCGACATTATCTATATATTTCTTATTCTTTTATTGATTTATCGATCGTAAATTTCATTCGTCTGACGTATAACAAAAAAAAATAACAACCGATAATTTTATTATTTGTAGCTCACTATCAAATAAATATATACATCTAAAATAAAAGGAAGAAGGAGAGTGAAAAAAAATGAAAGAAAGAGGTATATCGATTGCTTATTAACGATAACGAGATAAAAGAGAAAAACGTTGCGACGTTTCGTTTTTTTCTTCTTTCCAAAATAATACATCGTCAATTTCTTTGATAACATAAAAGTATTTACTACTAAATAGACCTGTTGATATTGTATAGATTACTACTACTACTCGTTTTCTTCTCTCTCTCTCTCGCTATAAATACATGTAGATAATAAAAATATATTGTCATCATTCATATATCACTATGTCAAGATATTACAAAGATGTAAGAGAAATTTTCTTTTCTTTTTTTTATGAGGTTGTGAGATTTTATGTTCTGAGCAATGTCAAATGCTGTAATCGAAAATATACCTAAAGGAGAAATAAATCAACAGACAGACAGAATAACCAGAGGAGAAGAAAAAAGAAGGAATTTGAGGGTGTGGGTGTGGGTGTGGGTGAGGGTGTGGCTGTGGGCGGGTGTGGGTTCGGGTGGGCGTG